GGGGGGGGGGGGAGTGGGAGGGTCACTGGGTGTTTCATAAGAGAGGTGCCATTTTGGCTCATATTTAGCAATAGTGATGGTTTAACTCTGAATGGAACAGGGAACCAACTTAGGTGCCACCTAAGTTGGAAAATCCTGCTCAATATACACTCCGGTGTTTTCTCTATACTCCTCCCTGTGCCAGCAGGATTAATTCTCATACAATTTTTAATCCCCTTCACAAATAATACCTCCTCCACCCTCTCCTCCTCCTCCTCTGCGTGGGGCCGCAGCAAAGAGTGTTTGGCCTCTCTGCAACAGCTCAGTTTATTTCAACACTTGAGGAAAACCTCTAAGATATCCCCCCTCTTCTTGGACTCCAACTGCAGCTCTACCTTTGAAAAGGGCATTTGCAAAACTGCTTCAAACCTCGTCCTACCAGACAACAAACACTAAACCCAGGCCATTTAGCAGACGCGCCGCTTGCCAAAACCAGGAAAAGTGCTGAAATTCAAGGCATGTAAGATCCTGAACACCAACTGTCTTTCCCTCACCCTCTTCCAATGATTTTTTCCCCCCCCCCTCCCCTTTTAAATTGCAGGAGGCACTAAGAAGGGCTAACAGAGAAGAAATTGAGAAACATTCTGCTGACTCGGGTGAGAAACATTTGCTTGCCACTACTGACGACCAGAAGGAGCCTGTGGTTAGGCTGGAATGTGATTTGTTGGAAATATCTGTGCAATTTACAAATCAAACAAGACAAGATCTGGTCATCAAGATCAACTCAACATAAATCTGTTTTGTTTTTTTTTTAGCAATAGCAATTTAGGGGAGTTTGGAAACCCCTATCTGCACAGCCCTGATGTGTCTCATAGAAGGTAACCTCCAACTCTTGAACTCACAGGCCTTCAGAGGAGTTTTAGTTCAGGGACTGAAGGCCCCCAGGTTAGAACAGACACTGCTAATCCTTAGAAATAAGTTACTTTAAACGTTGTATCATGAAATTTCTAGAAAGTATAATCTTTTTATCTATAAATTATGCTTGGAAATTCATCAGTGCAAGTAGAAAGAGACGGCAGGCACATGAAAAGACATATCAAGAAGTTAAAATCCTTAAAAACACGCTGATATATATAATTCTTACAACAGAAAAGTCTTTACCATAAGGAAAAATGACTGAATATCCAATTAAAAATTAATCATATTTTCACATTATTCATCATTCTGTGGACCTCGACTGCGAACACAATTAAAGCTATAAACAAACTCCACGTCAAGTGTTGGTTTCTCACATGCCCCTTCACAGAACCATCCTACTGAAGTGATATGAGCACAAGAACAACTACATCTAATTTTAACTTTTTCTTTTTGGGGAAGATATAATTTTAGACCGGCTCTAATTTAGAAACATTTCACAAAGACAAGCGATATGTCTGCCGGCAAGAAAAACATTACACTGAACTCATTGCTGAACTCAAGGCACTGAAAAATCTGTTTTCCTCCATGGATACGCCGCTTTTCATACTGGGTTCAAGACTCAGCCCTTCCACAGGGGGGAAACATGTCATGCTATATTTGATTAAGATAAATTGGAAAAACAAAAGCTGGCTTCTCATGGGAAACATCCTGCAAGCGTTGCCCCAGGCTGCGACTCATCTCAT